GCAGTTCGTGTCGGCGGCCGCTCACGGGCTGCCCGCTGGTCTGTTTAGTGCATCACATCGATCTTTTACTGATGGCTTGCGGATATCGTTGATGGATGCCATACCGGGCCCCACAGCGACGACAGGCTTTCATAACTGGATCCTGCTTGCATGGCACGCAGGTGAACCGGACTGAGCCCTCCATCGGTGCTGACCGTGTGTGTGTCTGTCTGTCCACCAGGTGGCGGTCGCAGCGTGCGCGACAAGACGCTGAGTCTGCCGCCGAGCGAGGCGCGTCAGCCCGGCGGCCAGCCGCGGAAACAGCCCGTGAGCCGGACCCGGTCGCTGGTGCCGGGCTCGGTGCCGGCCGACTCGCGGCCCGCGCCGCCCGACGACACGCACCTGCGCGCCTCCGCCAAGAGCCGCAGCATGGAGAACGTAGCCAGCGCGTCCCGACTGCGCTCGTTCCCCATCGACCCGGCGTCCTACGACCCGGGCGCGGCGGCCGGCGGGGCGGCTGGGGGTGACTGGCAGCAGCAGCAGCAGCAGCAGCAACAACAACAGCAGCAGTGGGCCGCCCACCAGCAGCCGCACGTGCACACCAAGGGCGTGCGCCAGCACCTGGACCTGTGCCGAAAGTCGTCCGACCCCAGCTACCAGAGCAGCCAGGAGCAGCGCGCGCACAAGCCACTGGTGCGCCAGCTCACACTCAATCCGACGTACGACCCGCGGCTGGCGCAGCGGGAGCAGTACGTGCGCGAACTGGAAGCGCAGCTGGGCCGGCAGCAGATGATGGCCAACCGTAACCTGTTGTCGCCTCACTGGGACGGCGGCCACAGCCACGGCGGCCAGCACCCCCAGCACGCCAGCGTGACGCGCATCGCGTCCGCGCCGGACTCGTGCCGCCAGCTGGGCATGGCGCCGCCGCCGCCCCACGAGTACACCATGCAGCGTCTGAGCAGCACCTCGGACCCGCAGCTGAACGTGAACGCGTACGCGGCCGGTCTGCCTGATCAGCAGCAGCAGCACTACGGCGCGTACGGCGGCGGCGAGCAGCTGGTGGAGCGCTCGGCGCCCTGGCACCGGCCCGTCACCTCCAGCCCGGGCAGCGGCTGGCCCAGCGTGGCCGCCTCGCGAGCGCCCGCCTTCAACCCATTCCAGCCGAACCCCCTGACGGCCAGCCTGTCGACGCCGCCGCTCGGTGGCGCCGGCAGCCAGTCGCCGGGCGGCGCGGCGGTGGCGCCGGCCGCCGCCGCACCGTTCGGGGTGCTCGGCTTCGGCGCCGGGACCGGCTACAACCCGGACCCGGTGGGCACGCAGCCCTCGTCCCCGCGACAGAGCAAGGACGAGCTGCGCAGGAACATTTACTGGCACCTCTGCGCTCTCTTCCCCGAAGAGAAGGTACGAGTGGCCATGAACCTTATGCCCGATGAGACGGACGCTGCGAAAATATGCGCGGAAATAGTGCAACCCAAGTGACGCGCGGCGCCGATGTCCATTGTTTGCGCGCGTATTTGTGTCGTTATTGTGGATGTGTTGTGATGAGCGGGCGCTGGGCAATCTGGGCACAGCGCGGGGCCGGGGACTTTGAGTGGGCTATGTGAGTGGCCGGAGCGCCGTATGAATGAACTCAGAGTGAGTGTGAGAGAGATGGCGGGGCAGCGCCCCAGCAGACACCCGACAATCGCGCTGGGCGCGGCGGCGCGCAGCCTGCTTCTCGTAGTTGACTGTTGTGATAACATGGCTGCCAAACGGTCAGCTGCCGGCGGCCAGGGCCGTCGCTGAGTAGGCGGAATCCGCTGACAGCATCGCCGACAATACCATGTATTGGGCGACTCGAGCCGGGCGCGGTACCATCGCCCGGCCTGCCGTATTGCTGGTTATCAGCAGTTTTTTTACGTAGCCATCTTCAGGAGTTTTCTTTTTTGTTGTTGCTTCACTAACCCATGGTTGTAGAATGACGTGGTTAGAGGGCTGTAGATAATATTCATTCTTCCGATGTTATTTTGTATAATTCTTGTAAAATAAACTGTACTACTGATCGTCACAGATGTGTGTTATCAACTCCAGCCGCCCGGGTTGTTGTGAGATTACCCGGTCACTCGAAGGTCGGACCCGTGTAATCGAGGGCCGTTTAACGCAGCCGGCGTCGGTGCTGTTCGTGAAGCAAGGACGACTCGGACGTGCATTTTATGGATGGTATCGCGATACAAGGCCGTTGGCCGCACCTCGCCATGTGAAGGTGAAATTCCGGGAAGGCGTGACTGTCGGCTCTAGGTAAATCCGGTACCATCCATAGTCCGCTGAGGCCCAGCTCGATTTCTGGCTGTATTGATGGAAGAGGAAGAACGGGGTATCGTGCACAGCCGTGCCTCGATATATTTACGGCCGATGGTTAGATTTCCTTATCCGCATAATGAGGTGGTGGTGTGAGCGGGGCAGGCTAGAACTAATTCTCAAACCGAGCTCTACCAGAACGAAACGAGCGTATCAGTCAGAGGATGGCTACAATCGAAGAGAAGATAATAGCAGCCATTGGGAAAAAGAGAAGCACATACGGAGAAAGTTGTATGTATGATCTAGCCTGCTCACCGTGCCCAGCGATACGGAACAAGTCGATTTCTGGAGCCTGGTACAGCTCGATGAAATTCTGACGAATAACCACAGGGATGGGTCGTATACCTTAAAGGTAAACCAGCAGCTGATTATGACCACATCAAAGTTTTTTTTTAATCAAACAATGTACATAGTTATAGCGAAATCAAAATCAAAGACCTCGTACCGCTTCGTATAATTACTCGCTTTACTTGTATTGTAAGAGCTATATCTCGTACTAAGCACTGCAGCTACTGGCTGGATAACAGTGAGCTGCGGGTGAGCCTGCAGGGTCGGTGGCTGGCCTGCAAGACGGTGTGCACACAAAATATACCTACGGTATGGGCTTCTGATATGATAGCGAGAGGCTATTACCACTTATCAATTCAACGAGATTAGGCGATATTTGTTATAAGCGATTTTTCTTATTTGCGATATATCTTATTTGAGAAGTCTATGCGAGTATAAATGCATATGTAGTTCAGGGAGATTTGTTCGAACGTTTCAGCCGGCTAGTGCGATATCTTGTCATAAGCTGAGCGCCTCGTAGCCTTCTGATTCCGGTTCTCTATATGCATTCCTATGCCGTTCCACCGCCGGAGCTACGGTCACCCGGTGCCAAATATGCAGACCCTCCACAGTCTTTTTGGAATCCCTAATCCGACTGAGAACAATCTGGGCCAAGAAATTTGTGTATATTTGCATAATTCACACGGTAGCCGGCCTCTATTTATCACGCGATATGTTAGATGGCCCGTAAAGCTTTTGTGCTGCGACCCCTCGTCTTTTCGCCGGGATAATCTATCTGCCCGCGTGAGAATATGCTGACAGAAAAATCAGCTGCTCGCGACGCCAGCCAAGTTGCTCTCTGCATATTCGGAAACTCAAGTACACAAAGTTACTTCAAGCACTTGTGCTGAGGCAGGAGCCTGTCGAGCATCGTGGTCATTGGTGACTAGCTTATCAGACGTAAAACACGCACACACAAAAAATATCGAGTGAACGAGCTAAACTGATAAATAAGTTGGCTGTCTGACGTGAATAAATGTGGGCGATATGCCGGTTAATCATCAAGTGAGCATTTTTATTATCAATCCGCATAATGTTTCGATGGGAGCGATTTTCGCCCCTTGTAGCCGGCCCCACAAGCAGCCGGCCCCGAATCCTTCGTAGCTTCACTTTCATATTCAAACAATAGATGGCTCTGCCGGTCAAACGCCTGAAAGGTATACTGTACCGCCTAACCATGGTCGATCCTCTGCCGCTTTTCTGCCGGAAGTGCAGCGTTTTTTAGATCGACAACAACTCTGATAATACGAGTACATAATTGCATCAATATATCAGCGGTGGGTTATTCCTTGATTTCACTGAACCACAGCTCGCATAGTAGGTACCATCATTTGTGATGTTAGACGTGGGTGACACCGACATAACCAGTGGCGCAGTCAGGGGGGGGGGGGGTGAACCGTGAAAGGGGTGAGATCTCACCCCCGTCTCTTATCCTAGGGGCCCATCTTTGATTCGAACTATAATGCTACATACAGCCCGACAGCAATTTATTAAACAAAATAAAAATCATTTTGTAAGGTTTCGAAAGGTCCGTAATAGGACTGAAAAACAGTGTTCCGGCCTGATAGGCCCCCTTTTAATATGCATATTCCCATTATAAGCGCACGGTGGGATTACACTTGAATGAACAAGGGGCAAATAATTTCCGGACACCCTGTAAGTGTAAAGAGTTACAGCAAAATAAATTAGTTTTCCAGGCGTGGGCGAAAGTTGCCTTTGGTGGTCAAAGTTGCACGAAACTACGGTACCTATACCTAGATATGTAGAGCGTTATTAGCAGTTATTTAACGCTAGCGAGAGCAGCAATCGAAATTGCGATTATTCGCAATCATGGCTGCAATTCGGTTGAATCACGCCCTCGGTGTTGCGTCCATGGACGTAAAACACCGCCGATTGAGAGTGCACTCTGTTGAGTAGCCCCATCGGGCTGTTGTCGACTACCGAGTGGGTGACGTTATCGCTGTTATGTGACTCTCAGTTGAGCCCCACGACAGGCTCACTGTGGTGTCCGCCCGCACTCAGTATGCATGAAACACTCTCCTTTCGGCGCCGCTGATCTGATTTGGCTGTATTATTTTCTGATTCGATCAGCGTCAATCCAAAAATCTCCGGAAAATCTCCCCCAGTCCCCTCGATGTGGGTGCAGCTTAATTAATCATGTATTGGCAGTCGGCTTTGTGCGGCCGAGGCCACTCGCATCGGGACGTGCCAAACCGTTTGCAGCGGGGAAAAGCAAATGCCACTAGTATACTAGCCATTAGTTATACACTATACATCCTATACATCCCGGCAATTATCGTTTATAGGTGACTGAGCTGATTGATTTACTTTTCAATTAAGTGAAACGTGGAGATAACTATTTTTCGTTTATTGTCAGAACACCTTTGAATCCATTACCAAAGGCATCACAAATTATTGCAATTGTTCTTTGTTTCAATGAGGCTTATAAACCAACATAGAAAGTTGACATTTTACACAGTAATAGTATTGTAAATCTAAACGTTCTACAAGTCTTTTTAAGACTAATCTAATCTATTACATTTATTCATATAGGTGCTAATTACCTATAGTCTGTTAGCTTGTGCGTAGTATAATAGTATATGCAGGCAGTCAAAGTGTGAAAATGAATGCAACATTTGCGATAAAGGGCAGCACGTAAATTGCGACGGCTGTAAATTTAGGTATAGAAAAACCTACACACTGCAATCACCAAAAAGCTTCACTTTTGTGTAAGACGTTAATTAGTACACTGTCGGTGTCCTACATACCTACATATAGATATCATCTGACTAGTTGAAACTGCTTTATAAGACCGAAGCAGGATGCATTGTCATACGGAAGTACATAACATACATCATCAAATGTTTGCTCTACATATCTTAAGTCCGCAGCAGCCTTCGTTGGCTGCATCATCCGCATATGCCATACCACAGAGTTTCGTGCGTAACAAGTGCCGAATAGTTTCTTCGGCTGACGTGGGGCTGACGTGGACGTGGAGGGACCCACTTTCTAGGAAGGTGGGTGGCGACGTGACGAGAGCTGCATATCTCGCATATATGTAGAGCCACGGATTCACGACATCAAGCAATCAGTCGCAAGTCCATTGCCCATCTCCCCTCGGGGTTATCACTCCGTGTCGCTCTGACTTCGCTTCGCGTGTGTTCTCGCCTCACCCGATAGTTCCTTCATCTTATCCCTGGGTTCGGTCCTCATCTGGTTTCGCCGTCTCGCTCCGTGTGCGCCGTCATGTGTCGGGTCAGGTGGTGTCGCTCGCGGAACGTCTCGCCGCAGACGGAGCAGCGCAGCTTCTCCTCGCGCGCGCGCCGCTGGCCGTCCTCCTGCCGCCGGTGGTGCGAGCGCATGTGGTACACCAGGTCGGACGTCATCCGGAAGCTGATGCGGCAGAGCGCGCACACGTTCTGTCCGGGCAGGATGGCGCTGAGCGCGCCGGCCGGCAGCGGCGGCAGCAGCGGCTTGTGTAGCAGCTCCAGCCCGGTCTGCAGCGGGAACGGCAGCGGCAGCCGCGGCGGCAGCGACAGCTTGGCGGCCAGCAGGGCGCGCGGCTGCAGCGGCACCGTGCGCTCCTCCTCAGAGACGGCCGGCAGCGCGGCCGATACCGGCGGGCTGGCCGGCGCCGGCCGCCAGACGCGCGTGAACGCGCTGCTCGCCTTGGCCGGCGGCGGACTGCAGCGAGACGCCGGCTCGCTGGCCGAGGACACTAAGAACGCCACGTCGAAACTGCGCTTGGTGCCACACGGCGATGGCCGGGGCGGAGCAGAGGCGGATGGCTCGGCAGCCATCTTCGCTGGACCGACCTGAGAAACAGGGAATAGCCGGGATAGGTTAGGTCCAACGCCAAACACAAATGTAGTGAGGAACACAATCGGATAATAGGTATTTCCTAGGTGACAGGGACATTCATTTGACAGAAAGAAACATAAATACTACTGACTCCAAATTAGCTTGTGTAAACAATCCTCCCAATAAAACAGCCACAAAAAAACACCGGTTAAAACGAACCAGCTCTGTTCATAGTTCGTACTTTTCATACATTGTTCACATATTGTTCCACAAACGGCAAGACTCACCTCTTCCCGAAAACGTTTCTGGCTGCTTGCTGCCCAGCTGAGGCTTATGTTGCGAGTTTCTCTCTCCGGTGACTTGGTTTACCTGTCTAATCAGTGTCTGGGTCAGTACGGAATACGATAGTTCTGACCGGGGCTTTCAACCCTCGGTCTTCGATCTCCAGTTGTTCACAGTCTGAAGTCGATAAAATTTCCGGTTCCTGTAAACATATGTCGTCAGCCTGCTGTTCGTAACGGTCCACTGGCTCTGGGTGATCCGCAGTTGTTCGTCGCCGTCGTCGTCTGGTGCAGTTGGACGTCTCTTCGTCCTACAACACTTATCTCAACAAGATGCGGCCGAGTCAGCAGCTGCTCTCCACCGGTTATGTCGCCGCCTTAGCCACCTCCTATGTCACCGTTTTTCCACCGCCGGTCCCTCGCACCGCTCTCCCTGTCACCGCCGCGCCGCCGTCTGTGCCGCCGTCTGTGCGACTGTCGGACAGACTGGCTCGTCGGTGGCGACAGCGTCGGTCGCAGCTGCTCCCCTCCCGGCCGCCGGCCGCCCGTCTGCCGGTCGCCGACAAAGGCCGCCGCGCCGGCACCGCCGATTATTCCGCTCCGACGGGGCCCCTCTCGGCGCGCGCTCCCCGCTCAGATCTGACCGACGCCCCGCTGACGCCGCACGAGGCCCGCGTCGCATCGCGTCGGTATCGGCGGCGGCAGCGCAGCCTCGCCGCGGAGGGACGGTCGGACCCCGGCGGCCCATATGTCAGACGGTGGAAGTTGTGGCCGGCACCAGCCGTCATGAATCGGCAACCAGCTGGAGTGAGCGAACTACATGATGGCCGCTGTCAAGGGCGCCGCGGGTCGAGCTGGGAGCGCCAGGGCCGGGGTCGAGCTGGTAGAGACGTGGGTCGTGCTGGGAGCGACTCGGGTCGAGCCGCGATCGTCGTAGAGAAAAGTCCGCTCATTTCTGATTCTCTGGAGTCCCTACTCAAACTACCGACAGTGGAGGTGACTTCCCTCTGATGTGCTAATATACTGAAGCAGCGGGCTACGTCAGAACCGACGGCAGAAGTTCGGGGACACGTCAGCGAAGTTCAGAGTTCAGAACGTGATATGCATATTGCATATGGTGTGATTTACAGATATCTCCGATAAGAGACAAAAGCATATGACTTCAATATTACTGAGTAAACAGCTAAGTAAGACATGCATCTCAATCGGCCGATTATTATTCGTTTCAGATTAACAAGCTCAGGCGCTTTTACATTTATTAAAAAAGAGACGTCAATAATGCTAGTGTCATGCAAACAATTTTTGCATTCTTTTCAGGAAAGCAGAAGGCTCTACTTGTGACAATCTTGGCCGTGGTCCATGGCTGGCCACTCGCCGGGCGGTGACCGTAAATCCCCATGGAATCACTCCGGCCGACCCCGAGTGGCGGAGACTGTTAACACTGGCGGCCTCTCAACCTGGCGTGGCTTGTAATGTCGATCCATCAGGCGGGCCGGCGCCGGCGCTCCACTACGGCCCTCGACAGCCATCACGGGAGCGAGCCGCGACCCGCGAGTGGCCCACCAGCCGCCGCCGCAGTTATCGGCGCACTCCATTTGAGAGCCACTCTCAACCAAGATTAATATTGCCGGTCGGAATGGCTCGGCGAATATAACGACAATACAGTGGCGAGCTCTCGGCTCCTGCTTTCAGGATCTGTCGGGCTGCATCGGCACAAAAACGCCGGCGCTGTGCCGCGAACCCGACACTGAAAGTGAAGGTGAGATGAGACCGCTAACGTGATCTGGCGCCTCCGAAATTCGATGGGAATATGTAAGGTTCGTAAGGATGTATGCAGACAAGCGCTTCTTATACTCATAAGTCATATGTCCTTACTAATGGCGCGATTCAACAATCTTTGCATTTGCCTACCGTTATACATATCTACTCAATACATTATCTCATATTCATACGTCATTTGTATTCCATATAAACAGTTGCCTGACGTTCTGTTGCTCATTTACTTGTCGTCGCTCCCATCCTCGTACAAAATCACCGTCGTGGTCGTACACAGATCAATTCTGGCTAATGACGCGTCGGTCTGCCGCGGCAGCCCCGCGATCATCTCCGCCGACACAGGAATGGCAAACACGGCGGCCAGCCATCAGTGCCGATCGCATTAGCGGTGCCGCATGGACATCACATTCTCGAGCGCGTCCCCGTCTGACGAGACAACAAAAGAGCGGCCGGATACGCGAGCGCAGATCGGTATTATACAGAGCGCCGCTCCATAAACATAAGGCTGGGGCCTGGTCAGAGGGGAGAGGGGCGGAGGAGGGGAGGGGAGAGGAGTAGAGTGGACGCGGGACGGGACACCCCCACAGCAGCTGGCCGCAGGTCGCGCCGTCTGCCCAGCCGGCCAAGAAGCTGCTCCTTCCGAGCCGAGCTCCCATATGATGTAGATAGATGGACGACGCCGGTGGTTATTTAGCGCGGCCAATTTGGCGGAACGGCGGACGCGCATCTGCATAATGCGCCCATAGTGCACCCGTGATGAGGACTCTGCGGCGGCGGAGGGACGGCCATGGAGCGAGGAGCAGAGCTCGGGCCGGCGGCGAGCCGATCCCCCTAACCGCACAGCAAAAAAAGATGCTACCGTTATTTGTATCATTGGTAGCACTTATTGTTCAACGACCACAAAGAGCCACAAATACCACACATACAACGGCTATAAATATAAAAACTGTCAGATGCCCTCGGACAAGTGCCACCAAGGCGTCACCCGGCCGGTCATCACCGCTCCAAGTTCGCTCTGCTCGCCGGCCGATGGCGCCCACTAAAAATGCCGCCCATACGGCCGCCGTTGGTGCAACCTTGCGCGCCGGCGGCTCCATCCATTTCGGTCGGCGGCAACGCGATGGATGGCCAGACAAAAACGGCGCGGCTGAGCGCCGCTTTCGCCTCGATCGCTCAGCTGACTCGGCCGGCCGCGGCCAATTACTACATCTATCTGTCGGCGGCGGGCGGGGGCGGGGGCGGCGGAAGAGGAGTCGCTCGGGCGGCCAATCTGTCAGTCGGTTATGGATGCAGCTCGCTGTGATCGGATTAGCGCACTGCGCCTCTCATCAGCCGCTGTCGGCAGGAGGCGCGGGCCGCCGCCGGCCCGGTCGGCCCCGCTCGGGCTGATTGACCTGTCAGTGGGCACAGTGGTCTGTCAGTGGGCGCAATGCGGTCTGTCAGTGGGTACAGTGGGCTGTCAGTGGGTACAGTGGTCTGTCAGTGGGCGCAATGCGGTCTGTCAGTGGGTACAGTGGTCTGTCAGTGGGCGCAATGCGGTCTGTCAGTGGGCACCGCGGTCCGTCTGCGGCCGCTAGTGTCTGCCTGTGGCAGGTATACCGCAGGGGAGTTCCATGGGGCCAACAGGATGTACTGGGGAAAATGAGGGAGCTTCGGTGCTATAATTGTGAGGGCTTGGTATCGTCTATTCTACACATAGTCGAATGGTCACTCAGAGGGCATAAAAGTATATCTGACGCGTTAACAGTGCAATGCAATTAGCAAATATTATGGCATCAGAAGTTACACCATTATGCATGCAACAGCAACATTTATTCGAAATTTCATACTTTATCTCACACATACGGTTAGGCAGAAGATGTGGTCGGTCATTTACTCTTCACTGAACATCGTCATATGACCTTCCTCTGACGGTGCGGCCGCATCGCCACTGCCGCTGCCATTTCTGCCGCCGCCGCCGCTGCGCTGTCGTTGCAACTGCGGCTGGGCCGACATCAAAACAAGTCGGTGACGGCGCGGCGGTCGGCTTTATTCGCACCCTATCTCGAGACGCCGCCGCCGATGATAACCATAAACAGCTTACAGCGAGTCATAAAGCGGCGGCGACGGCATATCGGCGCCGCCGCCATCGGTCGCTCCCAGCCGAGCGCCATCGGTCGTCGGCCGATGACAAGCGCGACTCGTTCCGCCAGCACCGAAGATAGCATCTCGATTTAGATTGTGGCAACGGCCGTCTGTCTACTCCGCCAGAGCTGTCGTCTGGTTGGTGGAGAATGCATTTGGGAGATCTGCTGTGACGGATGTTAAGTTTTTTGTTTGTTTTGTTTTTCGTCAAGCCTTGGGATAGCTTGGATCCACAAGCAGGAAGGACCTCGTTTTGTCATTCGTAACGCGAGCGCCTGTAGAACTTGCGTCCTCAAAGCGGTAATAAAATGGCACCGATATAAGCACCTAAAAGAATCGAGCATCAAAGATCGTTTTTTTATTGTTAAAACATTTTTAAGTGGAGAGTTATGCCTCTGTAGCTTGTCGGCTGTCACCTGGCCTATCGGTTTAATAAGTGACAAATAACAGTTGCGGCAACAGTCAGCTTCTCTGTGAGCGTGACAATTTTTTTGTGTCTTTTTAATCCGATTCTCCTGCATGGACTTGTTGTGGCTGACTCTAGCCCGATCTCAGACCGACCTTTTCTCGTGTCCAGACCTCGCGGCCGGTCTGCGCTGTCGCGAGGCGCGGCCGCCGGCCGTATCAGTCCCCGGGAGCGGCGGCACGTCGGTCTCCGCCGCCCCTATCTGCCGCGCTGGATCGTCGGCCGCGACGGACGATGAAGTGGCGGCCGTCCTGTTTGCGATGCCGGCAGTGATTGGCGGCGGTGATGTACAGCAGGCGGTGCATCACGGACCGCCGGGGACGGGAGGCGCTACCAGCCGCCGGGGACGACAGGCGCTACCAACCACCGGGGACGGGTGTATCACCAGCCGCCTGGGACGGGTGTATCACCAACCACCGGGGACGGGTGTATCACCAGCCGCCTGGGACGGGTGTATCACCAACCGCCGGGGACGGGTGTATCACCAGCCTACGGGGACGGGTGCGCGGGGGGGTCGAGGCGCTTCGGAGTAAACAATGGCCCCAGTTGAGGAGAGAAGCGACAGACAGCGCAGTCGGCCTGAAATGTTGATGAAGTAGTGAAGATCATGGAAGGTATCTTAGCTGCTTCCACTTATAGGATATTTTCTTATTCCTTCCGGATAGATGGAGCTGGAGCGGGTGGAACTGGATACCTGTACGATTAAAATGATCATTGATCATATAGGCCTCTGTATACCGTATACAGAGGTCTATGAAATGATAGGTATGCCTATTCATAAGAGCCAACTTTGACATGGAAACTGAAGATGGTGCCCTATGTTGATGTTGTTTCATCGAAACAATTTTACTTACGTGGCCTTATTTAGCTTGTTCTTGATTGTAAAATTCTTAGCAGTCGTTACATGGGGAGTTTATGCGATTTTAAGCGGATAATAGATAAGGCGTTTAGTGCAGGTTCACAAAAATGAAAGATTAACATTGCTTGGTCAATTCAAAATCATTATCTAAAATTCGGCTAAGCTAGGTAATAATTCTGGGTGCTCAAACCTAAAGACCTCATATCAAATGTCTATATATGGAGCAGCCGCGGCGGGAGTAACAGGGCCCGCGTGGAGCGTCGCAGTATGATTGAACGGGTCAGGTCAGCCAGCCGCGGGGCGGCAGCGCGGCGCCGGCGCCATTTCGC